TCTCTCTCTCTCTCTCTCTCTCTCTCTCTCTCTCTCTCTCTCTCTCTTTCTCTCTCTCTCTCCCCTCTTCCCCCCATGACCTAATCTAGATATTCAGATACTTTCCACATCTGAAAATCCAGAGTTATTACTCAATTCTTTACTTCACTAGTCAGTGCAGTCTCAGTTCCTGTAATTCAGAAAGATGGCACCACCTGTTACTACTTTTAGAGAATCATGTTCCCCTCCAGGCTGAAAATGTTTTCTTATTCTTATTCTTTCTCAGTCATCTACTGCCTATAAAGAGAGGAATGACTCAAGCCCAGGTTCCAGGGCAGGCAGAAGAGGCATTCTGAGAACACTGGGTCTGCCCCTGAAAGTTGTTTCCTCCAACTCCCACCTCCAAGGAACATGGTCTCCTTGGCTATCCTCTCCATGCTTATCATCTCAGTACCTGCACTCTGCTTTGAAGGCAATCGTCCAATGGATGAGTCCTATTGCTTTCTTTACTTTTGACCACATGTTAGTGAGGAAAAAGTCAGGAACATCAGGGGCTAATCCTGGATACGGGAGCTGTAGCAGTCATCATTAATGACACTTTTGTTGTTTTTCATTCATTTCAGTTGGATGTGACTCTCCATGACCTCACTTGGGGTTTTCTTGGCAAAGATACTGGAGTAGTTTGCTATTTCCTTCTCCAGCTTATTTGACAGATGAGGAAACTGAGGCAAACAGGATTAAGTGACTTGCCCAGGGTCACATAGTACCTGGTCTCTTTTTCCTTTCTACCTAGTAAGGTCAGTAAGTTCTTCTGCCCCTCTCTAAATCCATCTCTTTGGCTTTTGGGAAAATATCATGTTGAATTCAATGTGGCCAAAACTAAATTCATTATCTTTCTTACCCCAGATTCTTCCCTCTTCCTAACTTCTCTATGACTGTTGAGGGTATCACCACCCTCCCAGTTACCCAGGTTTGCAATGTAGGTGTCATCCTCTATTTCTCATTCTCTCTCACCCCACCCCCATCTAATCTATTGCTGTGGTCTGTTGATTTTAGCTTCATATTTCAATTTAATAAACATCAAGTGCCTGCTACGTGCCAGGCACTGTGCTAAGCACTAGGGATACAAAAAGAAGCAAAAGACAGTTCATGCCTTCAAGGAGCTTACAATCTAATGGCAAAGCCAACATGCAAACAAATATATACAAAGCCGGCTATATATCAGATAAATAGAAAATAATTAATAGAGGAAAAGAACATCTCCCACACTCACATACACCCCCTTCTCTCCTCTAACACTGACATCACTCTAGTGCAGGCCCTCATCACCTCATGCTTGGACTTTTGCAACAGTCTGCTGGCGATATGCCTGCCTCAAGTCTCTCCCTACTCCAATCCCTCCTCCATTCTGCCACCTTGAACAAGATATTCTATCTTGTAACTCCAGGTATTCCCCTATGCCCAGAATGCTCTCCCTTCTTATCTCCATCTCAGAGCCTCCTTTAAGTCCCAGCTAAAATCCTAGTTCCATTAGCAAGCCTTCCTTAATTCCAGTACCTTCTCTCTGTGATTAACTCCCATTTATCCTGCATATTCGTACAGTTTTTTACACATTGCCTCATGTTGCCTTTTGCTCTTATTTGTATCTCCAGCACTTAGCGCAGTGCCTGACACATGTCTTATTGTTCAGTATTTTCCAGTCATGTCCAACTCTTTGTGACCCTATTTGGAGTTTTCTTGGCAGAGATACCGGAGTGGTTTACCATTTCCTTCTCCAGCTCATTTTACAGATAAGGAAACTGAGGCAAAAAAGGTTACGTGTCTTGCCCAGGGCCACAAAGCTAGTATGCATCTGAGGCTAAATTTGAACTCAGGTCTTCCTAACTCCAGACCAGGCACTCTATTCACCTAGCTGCCCCTGACACATACTAAGTGCTTAATAAATGTTTGACTTAATGAATGATGTGGCTACAATGAGATATTTGTAAAGGGTTTAGCACAGTGCCTGACACATAGTAGATGCTTAATAAATGCTTGTTCCCTCACTCTTTCTCCCAACTGGACACAGAGGAAATCAGCCTGGTGGAAAGACTGTCACAAGAGGACTGTGTTTTCCAAGGCACTTTTTCCCCTAGTCCAACCTGTTTCTCCCATATTTGGAGACAGGAAATCTCATTAGATTTAGAATCAAAGAACATCAGTTTAAATCACAGTCCTACTACTTACAAGTTGTGTGGCCTTAAACAAGTTACTCATCTCTATTTTCCTCATCTATAAAAAGAGGAAAATAATGCCCTGCACCAGCTTACTTCATAGGGTGGTGAGAAGAACCAAAAGAGATGTGAAAGGCTTTGAAGGCTGCATTAAAACTAGATATAAGTCCAGGACTCCTTTCTTTGGGTCTGTGATCTCACTGATGGGGGCACTCCTTCCAATGTCAATAATCACATCTATTCAACCACTACTCTCCAAGGCAGGTGCCAACCTGCTTCCCACTGACAGATGGTATTCAAACCCAGCAACCTGTAGGCTTGTCTTCAGTGACCTCATGGCAATCTTGAAATGGGACCAGGAGGATCATCCCTATTTCACAGCTATGGGAACAGAAAGGGCAAGTAACTTGCCTTTG